GAGTGGGAAGAAAAGAAGAATTTCTTCATTCCTTCTTAGCATAAAGTGGAAACAACATATTATATGTCCTCAGAAGAAAGAATATAATTAATTGAAATTTAGAGTAGGACAAGCCCACAGTGAAAATATACAGAATTGAGAAAAGTAGTACTTAACCTGATTTTAGCATAGTTTTTTTACAAAGCCACAGTGCTTAAAAAAAATTAGAAAAATACTGTGTATATTGAGATGCTGGAAGGACATAGTACTGAATTTACAAGAATTCTGTATTTTTCTTCCAATGAGAATAACAGCAAAAATACTTGTAAAAAATATTTTAAAAACAAATATGTTAATACACATATTAGAAGTTAGCTTACTACTATTTTCAAGCATTAGTAAACTCTAAACAGAATGTTATTGGTGAAAGAATCCCTTTAATTTCTACTAGACTCAAGTGTGTGGACATTGTTTGGATGTTTTAAAATGTATTTTCTGGGAGGATGGAAAAAACATTGGGAAGCTGAAGGTTGAAGATATGGCAGTGTGTTCAACATTTTGAATGATAAGTATAGTTGTTGCCGTAATTTGTGCCTGTACATAAACACATGAACTGTGGAAAATAGAATGCAGCTGACATTTGCAGAAATAAAATTTTTATGATACTATAATTTAGAAGTTAAATATCAAAATAAAACATTTTTGTTCAGTTTCTTTCTTTGGGGTTTTCTTAGTAGTATAAAAACACTTGGCTTAAGAGAACAATTATTTTATCCAAAACACTTTTAATGCAGTTGTGAACACCACACAAATAACCAGACTCTCTAACTGCCATTCATTCTACATCTGAGACAGATATTTTGATGCGTGTTTCATATAGTCAAGCAACTGTAAGAAACTTTTAATCTACTAAAACTTCTGTATTGGACCGACTGGATCTGATTTTTGTTTCTTTGTTTGGTTGGTTTGTTTTGGGTTTTTTTTTGTTTTGTTTTTTTTTAAATCTGCCTTAATACGATTTTATGTAATTCTTTTTCCTATATCCTCCTTGAAGGTCTCCTAAGCAGTACATGGTTCGTTTCAGAACCACACCAACTACAAAACCATAATAACCTGGATTGGATTAATTTTGTCAAAGAAGATGTGATAATTATCTAAGACTTATACGCTTTTTGTTTTGATCCAAGTGGATTTCAAAGCACTGTTCCAGTCAATGAACCCTGCAATTTCAAGGATAAGCCTTGAAACCACTCGTATTCCTTATGTTGCTCAGGTAAATGAAGGTTTTTATGATGGGCTTTTGGTGTGGCACAATCAAACTTAGAATATGATAGAAAAATCTGTAATTAGTCTGTAAAACTTGTTATTATTGAAGACTTGAACTGCTTACTTAATATCAGACAGTTTGCATACACATTAGTTATGTTGAATTTACAAGATGAGGTTTAAAATTGTTATCTTTGGGCCTCTATCCTACAATTCCTAATTCTGCTTCTATCACCGGGTAAGTCAGAGACATTCTGAAGGGTCACTAAGCATGTGAATAGTTGTGTTAGCAATTTAAAAGGGAGTTTGAGAAGTTAGTTCTCTGTATCTGAACCGGCCTTAGTATATTCTGCAGTCCTAGTCTCTGTACCTTCTGCCTTGGAGCCCTGTACACAAAGAACTTTGTGGTTGAAAGAAAACAGAAAGAAGGTGTTGCTCTAGTTTTTATACCTTCAGTTTAAAACATGAGAACCCTCAGGATCCTTTCCTGATGTTTGGGAACTGTTGGCCAAAATTCTTCCACCTTGAGGACGTGGACATATATGCTTTAATATGAGGATGTCCATATGGATAATACATCTTAAAAAAACTTCAGGAGCTAAGCTCTCATTTTTCTTTTTTTATCTTGCATTTAAATATAGTGGTGACTTGATACTGAAATGCCACCCCCACAAAAACCCCTCACGACCAACAATCGCACAACAACAAACGCTTTCTGAGTTACAGTGAAAAACGTGTACTGCAAACAATATGTGCATTCAAACTTTAACTGGTCAGACCTGAATTATTTCTAAAAAGGCAGAAGTTAAAGACTGTGCTATAGATCAGCTGAAGGATTTTTTCCTTCTGTCTGCTATAAATTAGTTTATTTTACTTGTGATATTCTGTTGCTGTTTCTCAGACTCATAAAAACCAAAACAATGGTCAATTTCTATCTTTTATAACAGGATACAATTTCGTTCTTTATTCTCTTAGAAATAATTTAATAATGTCTGATTTACCTATTATCTTCATTTTTTATGGGCAACTGCACTGTTGACAATGACTACATATTTATAGCAGTCCATGGAAACAGTAGAGATTGGTCATATTATCCGTTTCATAAAAAGCAGAGGAAAAGGAAATGTTCTTTCCTCGGTGTCAGATGTCACCTAGATGACCAGAAATGGAAGTGCTTGCCCATCCCTACCACAATGCTAAAACCTCAGCTTTCTTTGGGAAGGCTGGGGATTTGAAAACATTAATGTGAAAATAAGAAAGATGCTGGGTGAGTGTGGGTATTTGTATATAGTTATATATAATAGTTTATAATAAACTATTAATAGACATAACAGTTATAATAGTAAACTTCAGTGCAAGAATAAATTTACATCTAGAGAATTTTCTTCACCAATTAATAAAAAGACTTCATTTTTAATGGACAGGGAGCTGTAACAGTCAAGGCTGATTTACCACAGAAATCAAACTACCTTTTTTTCCAGACTGGGCTGGTAGGTTCCCAGGCCTTGCCAATAGCTGGAGGATTGAACTAGTTGAGTAAGTGCATGGAATGCTGTCCTGTTGGGCTGCTGATTTAGCTGGAATTCTAACTATTTAGTTGCTACTGGTGTGCAAAAGGATCTGCTTGGAGAGAAGCAGTGTTGTTGATTATATGAGTCAGGTAAATTTATTTCATAATAGTCTATAGCATTGGTATTTTTTTCTCCACGGGGGAACTATGCACCTGTGGGTTCATGTAATTGTAAATGCTCTCACACGTGTGTGCTCCCTGTGCGAATTCTGTATTAACCCTTTGACTGTAATTCAACATCAGATTCTTCACATGATTTGCTCTGAATTTCTGTAACAGCCAACCATGTTTATGATAAGATTTTACTCAACCAATTTGTCTGTTGATAATCATAATATAATATCCCAGAGAATATTACTTTTCTTACTGATGGACATGGAACCCAAGATTATACAAAGGACCTGGGAGACTGATGCAGTGTTTTTCCCATATCAGAGTGAAGCAACCTTTGGAGGCTACACTCTGCCTTTATTGGAATATCTACTATTGCCAACAACTGCAGACCAAGAGTTCTTTATTACCTTTGACAGAACACTAAAAATACAGATCAAAACTAAAAATAAAAGTCAATTCTTCCATGGCTGAGAAAATTTCATTTCCAACTCAATTACAGAGGATTAAAGTTGTCAAAAGACTGGATGCCCAGTATAGCAAAAGGGAAAATTAAAAACTTAGGGAATGGACTTGTTTTATTTATTTTTTACATAGTTACCGAAATTAACTGTGTTTCAAAGAAAAAAGTTCCCAGAAGGATTTTACATCGAGGAAACTAG